ACTTTCGGTCATGCATGAAGAATACTCATGATTCCGTTAGCTCTTTCAATACTTGGGAAGCTAAAAGCTGGAAGAAAGAATTCTCGCTTTCATTGTGTTGTGGCAGCTCACACCCGGGGGAGCAATCATGCGGTGCTAAACGAAGGAGATTTAGTATCGATGTACTGCATTCACCACGGGATACGGGTGAAGCTGGGTCTTCGTCATCAAGGACCACATGATCAAAGCCAAGAGACTTAGTGATTTCAGGTATCCTTATGCTATTCTGATTTCTAAATTTTTAACACATTTTGGTGTCAATGTAGAAGGAGAACTTGTTGAAACCGTCCGACCAACGAATGAAATAAATAATTTCGTGCTTCAGAAAATGGGATTCATTAAAATTGATGGTGAATGGATCTCGAAAGAAGATCTTTGGGAGAAGTGAAGAAAGTGAAGAAGAAGAGCAAGAGGAAGGAATCAACACCGATATTCCTGGAACTTCGCGAGCACGTCCGTCCGATCCAATGGAAGAAGTGACCCCACTGGAAATGATTCCATACAATCCACCGCCTGACCGTGGCACGCCTCTGTCTCAGTTCGAAAGAACAATGTTACATCAAATGAGCGAGCTGCATTCGGACCAAAGGAGGCATATGCGAGATGACTGCTGCTACGAGGGCTCGGCAGCATTATTTGGATGAAAATTTCATTGCAAGGTTCCGAGCATATTGATAATCAACTAGAAGACATTTACAACAGGATTGTGGAACTACAATTCAATCAAGGCCCCGGGGACGAATGAAGACTTTTTATGTTTCTGTTACTCTGTTTTCTTTTCTTAGTTTTTAATGTTTTGTTTTATATTCGGGGTACCCACGTGGCCCCATTGGACTGTAACTAAAACAATCTATTTGATGCGATCAAATAGGGGAGAAGTATTTTGCTTAAAGCTGTCACTACACACACACCACAAAATATATGTCTACTGGTCTGTTATTTTTTATGCAGGTGCAGTGGTTATTTGTCTCCATCAAATAGGGGAGATTGAAGCACTTGGTGGATTTGATGAAGACATAGATATAGCTTAGGTTGTGGGTGTGTAGATGATTAGGTTTTTAGTTTAAGCACTTAATCTCTTGATAGTCCATTATATTTTGTGATAAGCGCCTTATAATGTTGCATCCCATTGAAAATCATTTTTCTGCATGAAAAACTTACATTTAAGTATTAAAAGAATAAACTAAGTTTTTCTTTTCAATCTATTGAAAAGGATTTTCAATCTGTTAAAATCACTCAACATAATAAGTGGTCATACATAGTCGTATTTTCAATTGATTGATTCGCGGAATCAACAAGTTAAAATAACTCAATGAATTTTTCAATATCAAAGTTTCGCATTTTCAATCTGTTGAAATGATTTTTAAATCTGTTGAAACAGAAAGATTTTTTTCAGTCTAAGAGTTTTTAGAAAAACAATCTGTTGAAATATTTTTCAATCTGTTGAAATGATTTTTAAATCTGTTGAAACAGAAAGACTATTTTTTCAGTCTAAGAGTTTTTCGGAAAATCAATCTGTTGAAATATTTTTTCAATCTGTTAAAAGCAGAGAGGCTATTTTATTAACTAAGTGTTTGCAGGATTTCAATCTGTTGAAATAAATTTCAATCGATTGAAACAGAGAGTGTCATTTTTCTAAAGTCTGTTTCAATCCATTGAAAACTCGAAACAATCGATTGAATGAACTTTTAAATGAAATCAATCGATTGAATCGTGGTTTTAATCGATTGAAATGTATTCTGATCGATCATAGTTTCATTCTGATCGATCATAACTCGGTCTGATCGATCATACTTCAGTTCTAATCGATCAGAGTCTCTTTTAAACTGTTATGCTCTCAAACTAATCGTTCATTTGACTCTCTGAAACAGTTTTTGACATATGAAACGTTCTGCTTCTTTGTTTTACTCTATATATACAGAATTGATCTATCTTTTGAAATATATACAACACACTACTTGAGAAAACTTGTGAAATCATTCTGTGAAACTTTCATATACGTGACTTTCTCTGCATTCAAGAATCTTTTCATATCATAAGGTGCTGTGATCAGAATTGTGGTCAATCAAAGAGAGAAAGTGCTGTTAGAATTTGTTCTGGACAATTAGAACTTCAAGTCCAGGTTTTTTCTTTCCATACTCTTTTGTAAAAGTGTGATTGTGCAGGTTGGATTGTGATCTGCACTTGGTACAGTAACTGGATTTGGTTACTGGGTGGTTTTCAAGATTCTATCTTGTGGGTTTGCAAGATAGTTCTTGGGGTAGATTGGTGAGTATCTACTGGTTGTAATTTTCACTTGGTATTAGTGGAACTTGACTGGTTTGTCAAGAACTGGATGTAGCTCTGGATTAGAGTGAACCAGTATAAATTTGTGTGTTAAAATTCTTCTTTCATCTCTTTTATTTTTTGTCTATAAACTTGCTGTGTTTAAACCAAATTACCTTCGCAAAGATTGAATAAAGATAACTCATTCTTCCAAAAGAAAGTAAGTTTTGCGAAAAAGTTTTAAAGTTCAATTCACCTCCCCTCTTGAACTCAACCATTAATTCTTTCATTATCAAGCCTCACACTAGGGGCCAAAATTTTCTTATAGGAAAATTGCAATAGTAAATGAACTTGGACATGTCAATCTGAACAATGACTATGTTGCAATCTACTAGGCCGTGTTTTGATAAGTGTTAAAAAGAGAGAGGAGGGACTTATTCCTTATATTTTTTTTAACATTATTGAATAATTACACATGAGAGCATAATAAGATATCTTCCTCATTTTTTTTTGTTCTTTATCATATTTGAAGAGTATGAAATACACTTCATTATTTAATCTTGGGTTAGATACAGATATAGTAAAGTTTATTAGGTCCATTGGAGCGGATCTAATTATCTACTCGTTTCAAATTGATAAGTCAAATTAGTAGTTATATACTCTCTATCCTTTTAGTTCATTCGACCTACCTATTGATATAAGGAGTCAAAGGTGGGACGAAATGAATTGGTTCATTTTTTAAAATATATCTATATATTAAAATTAAAATAAAATATATTATAATTTTAAATATTATATTTTTTTTATTATGTTATTAGATTATAATTGAATATTTTAAAATGTAAATAAATTTTTTTTTCAATTTTATGAAATAAAAGATATCAAAGATTTAGGATATATTTATATAAGTAAGAGCATATTTTTTTTTAAATACATAAAACTTGTTTCTCAATCTTTGGGGACACAGGATAAGATGATGTATTTTTTAGAAAATACATAAAAAAATTATATATAATTTATTCACTACATTAGAACTCTAATTTTAGTATCTTCTAACTATTCTTATGCATAAAGTAAAATTTCTTACAATTCTAAGTTGTTATTTGTGAATACACATATCAAAGAATGTTATTAATAATTTTTCGTCAGCTTCTCATCATCTACTACCGGTCTATGTGACTTAGGCTTTCAAGTAAAACCTTGGTCTCTCTTCGAATTTGCCATCTTAATCACAATATAAGACATAACATGGTAATACCTTTATCTTACTACGTTCTGCGTACCATATCTAGGTCATAAATAATATCAACCAATTGTTTCATATATATATATATATATATATATATATATATATATATATATATATATATATATATATATATATATATATATATATATATATATATATATATATCAACACAATTTGAGTCACCTCTTGCATTGTTTTGCATATCCAACATGTTACTTGAACGATATGACTAACAAAAAAAAACAAAAGCGAAAGCTCAATGAAATAATACATTTCCAAACATACAACCATTATACCATAATATATTACTAACATGCATCATATATAAATTCAAATACAAAATAACATTATTTACTATATAATCCTATTTTAACATAAACTTATTTTTAAATATCAATTTCTCTTCCTTAAATTATTCTTAATACTCATGATAAGTTTCTCAACAGTAAAATTAGTAATATTTCAGTATCTTCCCCTTAATTATTTTCGTAATCTAAACAGTATTTCATCGTATCAAAATATTTGAAGTTAGTAAATACTTTCTTTCCTTAACTTGAAAAGCTTTCAAGGATTCATAATAGAATAAAGTAAATTACTTAAATTTCAATTCCAAGAATAAAATAACCTTTACTACCCACACTTAACCCAACCAATTATTGATGTTAATTCCAACAAAATTTCAATAAAAAAGTTCTTAAGAAATGTTAGAAAGAACTGAGAAATATAAAGGAGTAATAGACTACAATATACGAAAACAAACAATTTAACCCTTCAATCTGAATTTTAAATTCAATTAATCCTATTTTATTTTTCATAATATACATATCCTTATACGTTATACTTTTGAATGCCTAAACACACCTTTTTCATAAAATAAAAATTGTTATATGTAAAGTTTTGTTAAAAAAATTATTATAAACTTTGTTCTAAAATGCAGGTGAAATGTTATAACTTAAAGGCCTCATACACCCGCCAAGTTAACGGGGAATCGGATGGCCATTGCGATCGTTTCTTCTAAAATAATTCGACAACTGTCCAGTCCTGAAACATAGTATATTCCATTATTGAAAACAAATTCCAAGTACTCTAGCAACATTTTGACTGAACTACATCATCGCAATGATATAAAAAATGTCAAATCAAACTCCACCATAATTAAAGAAATAAGAAAAAAAGTTGAAAAAGAACCATAACATGGGAATCAAAATTTAAGTGCGTAAAAAAATGACACTGGAAAACCCACATTTGGACATCCCCAACCGCAAGATGTATAAAATATCCCAAAAGCAATATAAGAAGCACACTAACAACATTGGCCCAAGCTATATCCATCCAACCACACATTACAGTGAGAATTTACAGGAAAAACAAAAATACATTTCAAAGCAGAACTTTGGTTCTGAAACTATCAAATGTAGTGTTGTTATCCACCGTATTGAACCAACCATTAGTTGTTGTGATCGTCATCATTTATCCAACCGTGTTCATCTTCTTCTACCAGCTTGTAGACGCTGAAATGGTTGACCCTGATCTTCCACTCTCCTTTAGTGGGATCGTATGATACAAATTCAGCACCTTGGTCCTCTGCCTTTCTCTTGAGCATCTCCTTGTATTTCTCAATCTTTGGCCCTTCTGTATACTGATGTCCTGTTTTTTTGTCGAAACATTTTATGTTAAGCAGTGTGACCTCAGCAGGCTTATTCAGCCCTTGTCCAACAGGAGGTTTCTTTGAATCATCCATGTACACAATGACCTCCCTATTGTTGAACTGAATGAGGGACTCCAAATCAAGCCCTCGTACATCTGTCTCTCCCAAGAATCTGATGCTGCCATAACCTTGCCTTCCAACCACGAAGTCCTTCACATGACTGCAGAATCCTGGTTCAGCTCTTTCCTTGGCCGCCAATTCATGTACCCTAGGCAGTGTATAGTAATCAGACCGCCTCAGTTTTGGCATTAATGCCTCAACGTCAGCTCCGTGTTCATATACAATGGCAGCCTCGCCAGCTCTGTGACCACTGAGTGTCTTGTACACGTCAGTCTTTTGTGGAGAATGATCTTCATTGCTCCCATTAGATGTTGGCTTTGTCGCTATATGCTGAGCTTGCTCCTTAACAACACCGTTTTCTACGGCACTCTCTGCAATCATTTACAGAAATTAAAGCACAAAAATTGGGGTGGGGGGGGGGGAGCATTTTAACTATCCATCATTTATAAATTAGCTTAAACACAATCATTTGATACTACTTGCATGACCATCGACAGCACAACTAAAGTCCAAAATCGTTCTTAGATGTTCAACAAAATACTAGAAATAAATTAATAAGGAGCACGTACTCTCTTTATCTATATCCTGTGAACTGGTTCTATTAGGTGTTACACTTGCCTCTTTAGAGATATTTCCTGAACATGGCAATTAAAAAAAAAGGTCATTTTGTCAGCACATTTTAAGGCAAGGGTTTTTAAATAAAAATATATCTAAAAATAAGATAATTAGAAAAGTTCATTAAAAGAAAGGCTGAGTCAGAATAGATATGTACACCTGTTCATGCATATAAAGTAATATATGATGGTACTTCTAACTACAGTTGTAGTATTAGACATTACTCATCGAGAAGGTTTTCAAAAACAATTACTCTATTCCACCATAGTAAACAATGGAACACAAACTTCTGGGCGGCAAACATAATAACCAAGGTACTGAATAAGTACTCGCTATTCCTACAAGTAGGGGAAGGATAGAGAACACTAAATATAATCAATAAAAAGGATATTACCATTCTCATTCACTGGTATGGATCTATCCTTAAAAGTTGATGACTTCTCCGAAGCCTTTGCCGGCCACTGCTCCATGGGACAAATGATCAACGCCCTTGGATTTTCCCTAGGAATGAACAGAGCATCAGCCTTTGGTGTTGTTGTAGTATCTTCATCACCATCACTAAAGAATGGAACCTGCAAGACAGTAGGGAGGTTAAGGCATACCTTATTCAATTCAATGAAAGACCATCTCACTAGAAACCTAGATTGAATGAAAATAGAGCTACGAACACTCACCCTTGGACCATCATTCTTAGAATGATATTTCCTGACAGGAAGCCTTATTCGTCTTTGTGAGAGATGACGAGATGTCAACAAAGATGATATTCTAACAGGAGCAGGTTTATCTAGTGCCTGGAATGAGGTGTCATTGAACTCATTAGCTTTCATTAAAAATCCAGCATAAAAATCAACAAAATCAAAAGTTAAAACCAAGAAATAGCACTTTACAGGCATGCTAGAGATTCCATATTGAATTGAAGGAGTGGTTCCAACTCGACCAATTGACATCTGAGGCATTGCAGGAAGTGTTCCAAAAGGATTTGTATTCGGAACTGCTTGTACAGCCACAGAATTCTGGGTAGAAGACCTGTCAAACACAACCCCTAAATAATGAAACAGCAAATACAATATCCATGTACATTTAAAAGACAAATACATACTAAAACAAATACACAAATTGGGTCCATGTATGATACTCCCAATTTTTCTCCCACACTTTCAAGAATATTTAAACTTTAACTTTTCCTTTGTTACAGCTAAAGCTATATTAACACATCTAAATAGAGCCAATATTCAATGTAGTCAAAATCGCGAGTAATATCGTGGAATAGCACCATCCCTTTGTTTCACACCTTATGTTCGATTAGTGTGCATGTAAGATCACACCAAAGTACAATTGATCAGAAGATTGAAGAAATGTTGAATCGGTGTGTACAGCATGTTAAAACCCAAGCCAAATTTAAAAAGAAAAAAACAAAGGGCTATGAACGTATGACTTTATGTGTTCCTTCGTTATGTAAGTAACCATTTTGTTTCTTCATGTCCAAGCAAGTTGCTTTGTTTTCTCCTTCACTGAATGTAATCTCTTCATGTGAGTAGCCTTGTTCGTTTCTATTTCACTACAATGAATGTTGTGCAGCACATCCATTTTCAACAATAAGTTTTATATATGTTGCTTCTTCTCTTCTTATGAACTAAAATATATATAACCACATCCTTTTTTTCGTTGCTTAATATGTCTGCTTTTGCAGTTCTATTTCCTCATAACTCCCTGTAATGGTTTTTGTCAGTGTTGGGGCTTCTAACCCTCCCTCTAATGATGTTATTGCTTCTATCAACATCAACAGTCCCTCACAGAATGTTCGGTCTAGGACTTGGCAAAAGAATGCTTTAGGTAGTGAAACAAACTTGGCTTGAAAGCATGAAATATTTGTTGATATCCAAGAAAAACTCAACGCAAATTTTGTCAAAAATCATATTAGCAGGGGTTTATAGCTAGAAACACCACTTGATAGGTACTCAAAAGGATGTACAGCTAGCAAAAGTGTCTGAAGAAGTAAAAATAGAAATGTTTGAAATTGTTGTAAGTCTTAGTAAAGATTAAATAAAAAAGATGTATAAACTAAATAAAAAAGAAAAATGATTGAAGAGGAAAATGTTGGAAAGAGTAAAAATAGTTTTAAGAAAAGGATAGTGAGCTGACAGGCCACAATTAATCAAAATTATTCAAGAAGGATGAAAGAGAAAGCACTTTAAGAAATGCTGCAATGTTTTTCCTGTGAAAATTCCATTTAACGTGTCAAGGAACAAACATTTTTTTAGAATTTTTCAATTGAATTTCAAGTTATGGCCCATGATTCAAGCCACCTTCATATCATGATAATAGGGTTAACTACTTGAAGGGAGTAAGACAACAAAAGATGCTTTCGAAGCTCTCAAGTTTGCATGGAAGAAAACATGTTGCACTATAATGACTTATGGGTGAACCAAGACGAGAAGGACTATATTGAACTTTTTGAGCTACTTTTCCAAAATAGAGTTAACTACTTTAAGGGATTAAGACAACAAAAGATGCTTTTGAAGTTCTCCAGTTTTGCATGGAAGAAAACATGTTGCACTATATCATGACTTATGGGTGAACCAAGAAGAGAAGGACTATATTGAACTTTTCAAACTACTTTTCTAAAATCTATAGATGAATATGTCATCTCAAATACATTTGATAAAATTTATGAGATGTTGGATGTTGTTAAGGAGGTTGGCAAGGAGAATGTTGTCACCTTGCTAACAATACTGCCAATTACAAAGCTACTAATGACATTAATGAAGACAACCAATTACAATGCTACTAATGACTTGATAACGAAGAAAAGGAAGTGGCTCAATTGGACCCTATGTTCAATACATTGCATTGATCGCTCAAAGATTTTGAGATACTCGTTCATCAAGATACAATTACTTATACTTATTGTAGGACATATGTGGATTTCTTTGTTGCATCAGTCACAAAGGAGAGATTTGTTGAGGTTGAGCTTAACTCCATTGTCTTTTGGAGCATAGGGACCCTTTTACTAGAATGTTTACTAGGGTTATAAGGCAATGGATCAGGCTAAAGAAAATATACAAAAAGAATTTAATGGTGACAAAAGGTGCTTTACTAAAATCCAAATTGGAATTTCATCTTTAGATTTTACTTTCTATAAAGAAACTAAATACTAATTCAAATTATTATAATTCTCCATTGTCTTTGGCTATTAAGACAATGGAGAAGTGCATTTGACATGGTAAGATTCTAAAAATTATGAAATAATAATTATAATAGTAGTTAGTAATTACTTATATGTGCATTTTAATTCATATTTATTAGGAATACATAGAGAAGAAATCGTTTGAAACAAGAAACTATGAATGATGTTGTTTTATGTCATGGTTAATTCAAAATTGGTTGAGAAGAAAAAGCTTAGAAGATCATTTGAGGATTTTGAATTCATTACTTAGGCTTTAGCAATCTAGTTGTCCTTTGTCTAGGACATGATAGTTGATATTTGGTAATTTGGTGTTTAGATTTAGGGATGGCAAATCAAGACAGTTCACCCCTTTCGGTCCATCGCAGCTCTAGCCAGCCAAAAATAGGGCAGGACTGGTCAATCCACCAATAATTTATTTTTATATAAAAAAATTTTATATGTATTTTTAAAACATGTAAATTATATGAATAATTTTTAAATTTTTATTTATTAATCAATATTTTTATTAAAATTAAAAAATATTATATTTATGTGTTAAAATAACTAATTATAATCAATAATTTATACTTAATTGATTAATTTTTATAATTTAAATTATAATATATTTACATATTTTAATAACATAACAAAAAATATAATATTTTTAAAGATAATCCTTTTTATTTTAATTCTAATATATAAATATTCTTTTAGAGTAAGACAGCAGGCCAACCCACCCTGCTCCCCCCTTGGCTTGCTGAGTTGGGGACTAGGGGGTGGGCCAAAACAGATTGGCGGACTAAAACCATCAACCTACTCCGCCATTTTTAGGTGGGCCGACCCTAGCATGTTTTGTCAACCCTATTTCTTATTGTTTATGATGAGTTTATGTTTCATTAAGTATTTTCAAGTATGACTTGGTATATTCTTTGTATCATTATGAGCATACATCTCATTCATGTAGTAGGATCTACAATTTGTATTGCAGTCCCCCACTAATTACAATCCTGTAAGTGTTTCATGATCCGATCCATAATCTTGATTTTAAGTACTAACCAATATTTGTCTCAAACAGGACTAATGGTGCTTTTCAAGTCGTTCTAACATAAAATCAGGAAAATGTGAGAATGACCATAAGGGAGGGAATATATTTTGATGATTACATGAAGAATTCATTAGTATAGTTTTTGTCATGGTCAAAAGTATTCTTAGTATTAATGAAAAACAATCAATATAACTTCATAAATTTTGTGCATTTATTTCATGGAAGTATGCAGTAGATAATGGCACAAAGCACCCACCCCACACCTAAAAATGCTATGAATATATATATATATATATATATATATATATATATATATATCGTTATTTGTCCTTATTACTCTCTCTAACCATAATTAAAAGACATTTTTTGAAATTTTATTGCCCCCTTTGACTTTTTTCTAACTTTCTATTGCATCCAATATTTTTTGACCCATATACCCTTAATTATTTTAGTCTATAAATAATAAATATTGTCAACTATCCATTTATCACTCTTATAAAGCCTAGACAAAATGAATAGTCTATTATTTTATCTCTATGTAATTGATTATTTATGTGAAAAGTAATTAAATGGAAAAAATTAATGTAGATAGTCTCAATTCTATTATTGGGAATTCCCCATCAACTAAAGATACAAATAAATTGTAGTATATAAGTAAGGTATCCACCTTACCTTAAGTTTGTTTTCATACCACCCGCTATTGGACTACCCATATCCTCAATGTTGGAGGTGTGTATTGGAGATAATTCATATTCATATCCTCGACGGGAGAGGAAATGTTGGAATCACACATAAGACTAAGTTGTAGTATATAAGTGGGGCTGCAAACCTCACTTATAGAGTTAGGTCCAATCTACTTTCCAATAACTTTGAAGGTATTTTTTGCTAATATTATAAAATACAAACAAATTTGTTGCAGTGAACTAAATTAACCAACTTTTTTAATATGCAAGAATAATTTATATACTAAGGCTAGAGGGACTATCATATATTACATTAAAATTCTTTGTTTATTACACTTTCCAATTTATATTTTTCATGTTATGTATATTTATGTGTATTCAATATTAATATTTGTCTTTAATATATAATAAATAATTATGCATTAATAATTTTCTAAATACTACATAGAACCTCATGTATTATAATAGTATAATACATGATTAATAAAAAAAAGTAACGCAACAAGAAATCCTTCTCAGCCACAAGCTTACTTCTCACCCGAAAACCCTATGACTTATTCTACCTCCTCCCATTAACCGTCATCCGCTCTAACCAAGAAAATAAAACTGGCTTTATTTTATCATTAGTTTCCACTGAAGTAAAAAAAAAAAAAAATTAAGAAAAAGAAAAGTCGCAAAAGTGGTTGCTTTGTGACAACATGCAAGGATAGGGTAGCAAAGGTGGTTTGGTGACAGAGCCAAGAGAGTTATGGTCAACCCTAAATTGGCTACTATTTCACATAATTGTGAACTATTTTTATAGCCACAATGGCCAGACACAATATGACATCCATTGGAGAAGTGGCATCATGTTGTGCTACAACATAACACTCCAACGAGATAGCACACAATTGATTTTCATTCACTACTATTCCCTAAACTTCACCTTATGTGTCGTTTAAGCATTTAGATAATTCTTTGCCTATCATTTCCTTCTTTCAATGAAATAATTACAAATATATTCCAATAAGATCCTTAATAAATACTCACTAATCTAAATTATTTCATTATTATCCACAAACCAATTAGGTGAGAGAGTAACCCTTAGGACTCATTTGGTAATTAGTATATAATAGGATACAAGGAGAAAATGAGAACATTATGGGTTAAGAACAAACATGTTGTGACAATGATGGTGGTGATGATTATGACAATGATAATAATGAGATGATAGCAACAATGACGGTGCTAATGATAATAATAATAAGGATAATAATAATAAGGATAATGACAATAGTAATAACCGATAGTGATGATGGCAATAATGATGAGTGGTAGAACAATGGTGAAAGGGGTGGTAGTTGTTATGACAATGATAATGATGGTAACAATTGGTGACACTAACCATTGTGGTGATAGTGTATTGGTAGTTGCTATGATGGTAATGAAAATGTGATAGCAATGACAAAAATGATAATGATGGTAACAATGGTAGCAAAAGTTTTGATAAAAATAGTGAAAATAATAGAAGCATATTGCAACAATGATAGTGGTGGTGGTGGTGGTGGTGGTTGTAATGGAAAAGATTATTATAACGGATACGATGTGTATGGGATGGTGTTGGCATCAACAAAAATAGCAAAAATGGTGCGACAACAAAAATGAAAGCAGTAGTTGTGACAACAAGGATGGCAATGATAATATTGGTGGTAATGAAGGTAAGTGGTGTGAAAGTTGGAGGAAGGTTGACGATTCTATATTGTTATTTTCAGACCTAGCTCCCCTCTCAAGATAAAAATATACACTTGCAGGATAAAATAGACAATTATATGACAATCATATTTTGTCAGTGCACCAAACAAATGATTACAGTAGGATAGTTATCTTATCCTATTATATCCTAACCACCAAATTTGGCTATCAGTGTCTTCTGTATTCATAAAAATAGTGTTAGGTGTGATTACAGAAAGATAGAATAGAAAAGAGAGTAAGGACATTTAGGCAAAAATTTATGTTCACTGACTAATTTGTTGTCCTTCTTAACATGTGAGAAAACCTTAATCGACAAATAAAATAAATGGAGGAAGTATGATTTATGCAATGTATTTTTTCTTAAATCCATGCCTCCATATTTAGGTCATATATCTTGCATATTGATTATGTTGGTGCTTCATATGTCAACTCAAAAATCATAGACCGTTTGGTCACCTTCATTTGGTAAAAACAATTTGAACTAAATGCAAGACTTAAAACTAAATGTAACTTACGCAAGTCCAAAATTATTCTGACCAAATAGGCCTGGAGTGCCACCGAAGCTGCTTGCACCCACTAATAACACCATACAATAAAACAGTCATTCAAAACATTAATCCTTCAATCATTGCATGAAACAAAATAAACAATAGTATAACCATTACATAATATAATATACTGACCAGGTTGTGTCTGACCAAAGTTGCTAAAGCCAAAAGCACCACTCGACTGAGCAGGCTGCGCAGGTTGAAAAGGTGTTGAAATGGATGGCTGTGATTATGGAAGTCAAACATAAGAATTAGAATTTCAAATGTCAGTACAAACACTTGAGCATTTAGTATCTCACTAAGAAAGATCCTGCCTAATGAGATAAGGCTACATTTTTGTTGCTGTACTACTACTACCCATTTATATGCAATATTTATAGAAAGATTAATAGAATACTTACATAAATACATTAGCATAATGTTCAATAAGTTTGTAAAGCATAAAGCTCAAATTTGACTCCAACTTATCATGGCTCATAAACAGTGATTCTAAAGAAAAATGTTGTGTGTGAAAAACATTATCAATTAACAAATTCAAATGAAATTACGTACCGCTGTTTGACCAAAACCTGACAGATTATTAGAAGTGAGTGATGCACTTGATGAAAAAATACTTCCAACAAGTCCAGAAGAAGGTGAATTAAACAAGCTTGATTGTGTAAAAGGTGTAGTCTGCCCAAAGGGGGAAGTATTCTGTCCAAAAGCAGAACTCGTCTGTGCAATTGTAGGGGCTGCAGAACTAAATAATGGAGATGGCTGTGTATTGCCAAAAATGCTTGAGCCAAATGGTGAAGAGGTGGCCTGAGCAGGAGCAGTATTAAACAGTGACGGAGATTGCCCAAAGCTGGGTGTTGAAGAAGAGTTGGCTCCAAATGGAGATGGGGACGAGCCAAAAATAGAGGGTGCTGCTGCTGCAGTTGTTGAAGAACCAAAAGCTGATGAACTGAAAGCAGGAGCAGCAGAAGTTCCAAATCCAGAAGAAAAAGGGGAACTCTTTGGGGCAAAAGGGTTAGAATTAGGTGTGGTGGAAGAGAAAGGATTGGCTGATGATTGACCAAACACAGGTGAAGGAGAAAAGGCATTTGTATGTGTCGTAGACGAACTAAAGCCTGCCAAACCAGTAGACTGACCAGAGGGAAGTGGTCCACCTAAATTATACAATTCATTAAGTCAAGATCATCATACTGCAACAAAAGTCATAAGATTTATCAAAATGTTTATAATTATTAAAAAGAACCTTTGTCTCCCAATTGATAGTCCTCCCATCTTAGTTCCTCATGACTTTTGTCTTTGTAAACAGGCATGGCAGATATGGACTCCAATTTTGCAGTCTGCCCAGAGGTACCACTATCTGCTTCAGTTGTTGCTGTGTAACTAGCTACTCTACTTCCACCCCGTTGTTGACCTCCAAAACCTGACTGGCCAATACCAGTATTCCCAAAGGTTGATGATGGAGTTTGAGATCCTGCAAGAGAAAATATGTGAAGATTACTTTCAACTACATTTGCACAAGATACTCTAGTTCCTTGTATCTTTCAAATAGAAATATCACAGTAAAAATTCTAATGGTTGTTGAACTCACCAAATGCTGAACTCTGACCTCCAAAGGGTGAGGCTGTACTTCCAAATGGACTGCTGCTACCAAATGCAGAAGAAGACTGACCAAAAGCTTGAGTGGATCCAAAACTAAATGCTGGAGTACTAGAGGCCCCAAATGCAGGAGTACTGGAGGCCCCAAATGGAGTACTTGAACTACCAAATGCAGATGTGCTTGATGAACCAAATATAGGGCTACTTGAAGCCCCAAAGGCTCCCCCACCACCAAATACAGGAGCACTTGACACCCCAAATGCACTCCCTGTGCTACCAAAAGTTGGGCTTGAGGTGGAACCAAATGCAGGGGTGCTAGTTGCACCGAACGCAGGACTGCTGGTAGCACCAAAAGCAGGGGTGCTAGTTGCACCAAATGCAGGAGTGCTTGTAGCACCAAATGCAGGAGTGCTTGTTGCACCAAATGCAGGGGTGCTCGTAGCACCAAATGCTGGAGTGCTTGTAGCTCCAAATGCAGGCTGAGATGATCCACCAAAAGGTGTTGAGGAACCAAATATGCTACTGCCAAAAGCTGGTTGTGATTGCTGTGTGGCACCAAATGGGCTTGCTTGAGTGGGTGTAGATCCAAAGCCTCCAAAAGCAGGCTTCTGGCCAAAAACTGATGACCCTAGAAACCAAAGAGAATTAATTCTCAGATTTAATCACAAAACTGTCCGATACTATAATTTAAAAAGGGAGAAAACAAGTTAAATTATACTAAAGAACTCAGGAATTCGATGAACTACCTATCTCATCTAACTTTCAGCGTTCAAAAAGAAATAAATAAAGACAATCTAATGAACAAAAAAGAAAAACAAAAAGCAACCAAAATGAAAAAAGGATTCCGTGCACTCATACCACCAAATGACGACGATGAGCTACCAAAAGCAGGAGTTGAAGATGACCCAAACGCGGGCACGGAACTGCCAAAAGCCGGCGAGGATGAAGCCCCAAAAGCTGTATTAGAAGCAAACGGAGAAGACTGTTGAGCCGCACCAAATACCCCAGTGGAAGTACCTCCGAACATGGAACTACCAGTTTGCGACCCAAATGGAGTCGTACTACCAAACGGTTTAGGGGCAAACGGATTGGTACTTGAATTGGTCTGACCAAAAACTGATTGAGAGCCAAAAGGGCTCGACGAAGACTGCCCAAAAGCTGTCGAAAGAATAACTTTCATTCATCAACGGTTTGCGAAAGTAATAAACAAACAAATAACATCCCTCACCCTTCACGCAGACTTAACACCAATCAACAGAACCAACAAGGAACAATAATAATAATAACTCTATACGATAAAACAATCATCCTCCAAAGAACCCACAACACTCGCAAAAAACACGCCATCGCCATAATAACAAGCGCGCAAAATATTACAAATCAACGCAGTCGAAGCAATACTTACGGTTCGAACCAAACATCGTCACAAGCAAGGTAGTAACAACCGCGATCTGAATCGAAGAATGCTATGCCTCGGCGATTGTGCTACCTATCCACGAGTCAGATCACGAGCGAGCGGGATCTTCGTTTGGTGGAATCGTGAAAAATCACAGCATAATGTGATTTCGCGAGTCGCTCTGCGAAAGAAAAAACAACAAAAACAAGGTCAGGTTCGAGAGTCTTCTTAGCTTAGCGCACACAAACCCTAATTCGCGCAGAAATAGGAATATGCGAAGTTACGAACCCTCTCTCTGATGGACGCGAAATGGAAGAACAAGGAGGAGAGGACTGATGATCGGAGAAGAAGCAAGGGTTTTTCTTTCGTTTTTTTCTTTTTGAGATAAGTTAGCGGGTGATGAGAAGAAACGAAACGAAACGAGAGTTTCTGGATGAGAAAAATGATGGGCCTACCCCCCATATAGGCCCAATTGGGAGAGCCGCGTAGCTTGAAATTTCCGCTGAATAGAAAAACAAAAAATTGTTGGAATGGATTAATAACTACATGTTGTAGGGATTTTTATTTTTATTTTTCTGTTCAAGTCAGCTTTTTTTTTAATAATATAATTAATCAATATTCTTTTTTAATCATGTGATAAATTTAATATAATAAGATATAGACCTTGTTTTTAGGAGATATTATTTATTTATACTATTCGATAAGCTTGAATTTTCATGGTTATGAGATTTTTTGTTAAATGATGATTAATTTTATTATAAAAGAATATAATCCAAAGTAGTTATTTGTTAGTATTAATTATTATTACCTAGATATAAGGTTTGTAGTGAATTCTTTTTATTATGATAATAAAATTAATTAAAAAAATATTTTTCTATTTTTTATCAATTTTAAATTTTTTTACAAGCGTGTAAAGTTAATTTTTATAAAAACTTTAAAATTAAGATTTATTGGAGAGTGTTCTTTTGTAAGTTAAAGATTATTTAATCTTAAAAATTTAAAAGGAAGAACAAATTTAGTATATGAAGAATAAAAATAAATATTTTGTTTCTAAACAATAATTGAATTTGACAGAGTAAAAAGATTATATGCAATTTTGTCAAAGAAAGAAAGGAAGGATACTCTTAATAAAATTCATAATGTCTTATTCTTTCTTTAGGTGAAGAATTTTTAAATAAATACGAGAATATCATAAAACTTGTATATGACAAAATTTTCGGCCCACACATTATTTTTGAAGCATAAAATATACACGTTCAAGATGTTGATTGGAAAAAGGATTGAAAGATCATCTTGTTAATTTTAATAAGATCACTTTTTAATTATGAAAACACTAAAAGAATGATCAAGAAGATCAAGCATTGATGTTTCTCAATTTATTATCAAGCAAAATTCATAGTCTTTATGATACACTCATACATGAAAATGACCTAATATCATTCAAAGTGGTGCAAAATATTTATTTCTTATAAGAAATTGATGAGAAAAATGGAAGGAGAGATGAACATGGTGTTAAAGGATTAAACATTAGAAGCATGATAAAAAAGAGAGATTTTAATATTAATAAGGATTAAGATCCAGATTAATGCAAATAAGAAAGAAATATTTCATTTGTAGGAGTGAAGACCATTCTTAATTAGTGTCATATGAAGATAAAAATAAATAGAGAAAAAAGAATTAATAATTATGTTGATATTCTTGTAATCGTTATTGTATATGAGATGGAAGGAAATGAGTCCAAGAGTAGTGAAAAACCTCTAAGTATAAAAAAACTACTTTTATTTAATATAATTAAAATATTTTATTTAGTTTTCATATATTATTAATACTCTATTATTAATCATCATTATTAGCAATAGTTTTATTTTACATGTGACACGTATTGTCACGTGTGTGATTTAAGTAATCTAACAACATTTATGGAAATAATTCACCATGCTCCCTAAGATCTTTGATAGTACATAGGTACAATTATTCATGATTTTCCACCTTTTGTACCGTTAAAATCACATACATCATTATTATATATCACTTAATGATTTATGTGGCAAAAAATTAATTACTTCTTTAATGGTGACAATTAAAAACTTAATGTAACAATTGATGACAAAATACTCTAATTGTATTTTACACAAATATCTTTCATAATTATTGTATATTTTACCTAATAAAAAACAATCTCAAATTTGGTTTGTTATTATGAATGAAAAATTAAGTTTCTCCCACAGGAATGACATTTGGTTTTGGTCAACAAGCCAAAAGTGATACGCTATGACTAAGGTCATCGCTTAGACAAGACGAAGGATGTAAGGGAGGAAATGAATTAAGAAGCTTTTAGTGAAAAAATGACTAGAAGTAAAGTGAAGGGAGCTTGAATAGGAGCTCCATAATGCTATCAAGTTCTTATAAATTAAGAACATAGTTTACGTTGTTTGAATTATGTTTTTGTATATATACTTTTGTATAGTTTAGGACTAAGTTGATTGCTTGTTCATAATGATAACCTAAGGTGTGCGTGACTATTACTTTATGAGTTTACCTTTTAGGCTTATTTTGATTTAAGGGTGGGAAGGAGAGTGTTTGACCACTCTTCCACATGCCCAAGCTCCCTATATAAGTAGATTGTGTATACTTGGGCACAACTTTGAGAATGAAGTTATTTTATTGATTTCAACCCAAGTGTACTTGTTAAGAGGTGTGAATTTTCCTCATACAAAATTTCTTATGCATAGGGAGAACTTACGTTATTACCCATTTAATAATGGGGGCAGTGTGGGTATCATACTACCTATACCAGTAAAATAATATTATTTTTAACTTTTTAAATATAATTATTACATTTTAAATGAGTTAATCTATAATAAGATAATAGAACAAGCCAACCTAAATCTATTTAGGTCATAAATTAACCAAGCTAAGATAAATATGGTCTAATTCAATTTAGGATTTTTTTTTTTACTTCTCCAAACTTGATTTTTAGGTTTTTAAAGTAAGTTTGTTAGGTTACACCAACCAAGGATAAAATAAAGTCCATGCACATTTTTAAAATAGATACTTAATAAGTAAGAATGTAATGAGGAGATCATGAATAGTGAAGATAAAAATGAACAAGAGTTCATAATTTCAAGAAGAGTGACAAGGAACATGACAAGATAAAATATTATTGTTCCGAAAAATGTCTTTATTTTATATTGAATGTTAATTAGTTTTTTTTTTTAATTTGAAATCTAGGTTTAAACGTGTGATTAAGATATATGTGGGTCTTTATTATAGACCAACAAGAGAGAGACGTATTCAACCAAGATCAAAACAAGGAAGGACACAGTTAAACTCCAATTGCACCCACATTTATACTCCAATTAGGGATAACTTTCATCAAGACAAAGAAAGGAGAAACAAAGAACATGTGAAGCAAGTAAGAGTGGTGTGACTAGGGCAAGAAAAACATGAACCAGGCATGGAACACACCACACTTTAATCTACATTCATTTAGCTTTTAATTTTGAAGTTAAATTTTCCTCTCTTAGTTTCATTTAAATTTGAATTACCCTTCCTTAATTTTACTAGTTGAATTCTCAATTCCATTTCAATTTGTGATTTCATATCCTTGGTTATAAATAGTCATCAATTTTCATGTAGAATCAATTCATGTCATATTAATAATTTGAGTTTGAGATATAAAAACTTGTATTAGTAATTTATTATTCTTTGAATCTTATCTTGGTTTCTAAGAATCAAGTAATGATTCTTCACCACCTATCTGGACGAGTACTTTTTCATGTGGTGTGATGACAACTCATTTCTTAGTATTTTTCCTAGTTAATAAAATAGAATTAAATTCTTTTAGGTTCTTATTCTATTCTATTATATTAGATTTTTATTTTTAGAAAAAAATGCAAAATCACAAAAAATATACTAATTTCTATATTTTAACATAGCCTTCTGTATTACTTTTGATTTCTTCCCCGACCAGCTTTGACATTTGCCTCTTCTTTGATTTATATATTTTTCTAAAGAACTCTAATTTAGCTAATTCTTTTTGCGTTGGAAACTAGAAATCTTAAGCTTCAATTTGAACACAAATATGACTATTTTTAAAGGTTAGACCTATTTTTAATAAATCAAAGAAGATGGGGATGCGAAATTGAAGATCCTATTGCAAAAGTGATACGAAAATTAACTCTAGTTAGATTTAGGACACGCTTGTAATTAGTTTTAATCATGATTTAGTTAGTTTTAATTCTAGTTAACTCAAATTTGAACCTATAATAAGGTATTTTTGTTCCATTGTAAAACACATCGATTCTATTCTTCAATTGATCTAAAGCTAGTTCAAGTTCTCTCAAATCTGATTTTTTCTCTTGCTCTTTCTTTAGTTTTCAATTTAGTTTTCTTTTTGTCTCTTTAGTTTTCACTTTTTCTGATTTTTTTAGTGTTCTTCTTGTTTTACTTTAGTTTTTCTTTCAATTCAATTCCATTTTACATTTGTTCTGCACGAATTTTTACTTCAATTCATCACATAATCATAATTTGTTCACAATGTTGTTTCCAACTTTATTCTTCTTCATTGTTTTCGGTTTTTACATTGTGTTGGCAGTGATTTGAGCATGATTCTTGTTGTTTTTCAAGCCTTAATCGGTTCCTTTTTCATTAAGGAGAAGAATCATGTCTCATTAGTCAATTTCACAAAGTTTTTATGTGTTGTTTCGTTGTCTTCTTGTTTTAACACTATTTTACCATTTTAATTTTGTTTTTGCGTAATTTCTCCAATTTGATTGGTTAGAATGTTGTTTTCAAGTTCTTTTACTTTGTTCTAGAATTCAATTGATTAAATTCATTTTAGGAGTATTTTTTGTTCGGTTTGTTCATAGCAATTTAGGAGTAGTTTTCAATTTAGGAATAACTTTTACATTTGATTGAATTTTAGTCTTTGATTTTGTAGAACTTGTTCTTGATAATCCTTTGTTGTTTTTGCACAATTTAGACGTTCTAAACATTAGTTAATAGGTTTTTAAGTTTTTCAAACAATTAGAAGTTTGTTTCTAGTTAATCTTTGCATTTGGTCATGAGTAGTTTCAAGTTTTTGTCTATTTGAATTCTTCAATTACTACAATTTTTTTTCTTACTGTCTCTGTTGTCCAAATTTAATTCCAAGCATGATTTGATTCTATTTTTGTTAATTCCAAACTGTTTTAGTTGTTTTAGTTTCTAAATTTTTTTACAAACATGTTACATGCACTAGTTTGGTATAATTTAGAATCCTAGTCTACTTTTTTATGTTGTTTCATATTATAGGCTTAATTCTTCTTAATTCTCCATTCTAAAACATTTAGAACTAGTTCTAATTCTGTTTATCACTTAGTTCAATTCTATTTAAATTGTTTAGTTGCATATTTTAGGCAATTTAAGTCATAGCATGTGCATATTCATAATTAACAAATGTTTTAGTCTAATTGCATTTTTTTAATTCAGTTTTCTAGAGTTTTATTGTAGTTTGTACAT